CCCCAAAACCCCAAAACCCCGCAGTATCAAATTATGACTGAAAACATATGTAGAAATCAATTAAAAATCTAACAATACCAATATTTAAAAATGACATCTCTCTATGATTCTCTGAGAAGAAAGCTAAATATGGAGGAAAGTCGAGTTGTTGATAGTTCATATATCTTGGTAAGCGATCGAAATAGTAAATAGGGACTTGACGAGAAATATTTGAGTCCTTCAGTCAATGACATCGATGGATCAGCATATTCATAGCATTAATCAATAAAAGAATTCTCAGTAAATCTAAACTACCAACAGCCATCTAAAGTCTCGAGCAGGGCTAACTTTTTCAAAGTATTCAAGATTGACGAAAACTCAAGAGATTTTAAAACAAATTTATCAAAGCCAGCATCTAATGTATCAATTCGAGTTCCTTACAGCTCTTCTAATAAATACCTGCACTATCAAGTACGAAGATAAAACTCATCAAAATAAGATTATGCAAAAATTAACTATCAAAATGGCTCAAGATAGTTAAATTAGACTTACGATAGAATAAATCTAAGTAGGCTTGATTAATCGCAATATATTATTCAAAGAAATAAGAGCCCTAATTTTTCTTAATAGTCTTAGCCAGACATTTAGAAACTTGATATGACTTAGATAATTAATATGGATTCAGAGTGACCTAGTGAAGAGGAAGATTCATCTTTTGATTATGAAGAAAAGTTCAGGCAAGCAATAACTGAAAAGGAATAGTTGTTTATTAGAAACAGAATGACCTAAATACAAAAAGACAGCTGCGAATGTGGGACTTAAACTGTAGGTCTGTCTTGCTAAGTAAGCAAGAGAGTTCTTGAAATAGTTGTTGATGATAGAGATAAGTGTATACTGCATAAGAATGAGGAAATCAGATTTATTGATGCAGATTCTAATGATCTTCTCTGCATATACTGTGCGCTCTAATTAAAACAGACAAATCCATTTTCAAATATTATAAGCACTAACGAAAAGCTATAAGATGTTAGTTATGACCTAGAAGTTAACAGAAGAGGATTAGACGATGAAGCAGGCACTCTGAAAAGGCTAAAAGAAGAATCAGAAAAGCTTAAAGACATTCAAATTTAATCTATTAATCAGAATTTCGACAAATACATCAGAATAATCAACAACCTTAGAGCTAAAGCGATTGAAGAAATTAAGTAGGTATTTTCAGAAAATGACTTTGTAATTGATAACTACTCCAAACTTCTGAGAGATCATGACTCTGAATTGAAGGAAATGATGAGTCAGATATAGGATCTTTAAATCTTGGGAGACTAATCTTAGAAGTTTACCTAGATACTAAAAATTCTTACTAATTAAGACATTATGCAGAAATCTAAAAGATTTTCAAACGAAATCTCTAACATTAAACTGGTAAGAGGGGTGTTCACAAGAAACTCCAATAAAATCAACGAACTTTTAGCTGAAATTGAAAATTCCTTTAACATAATTAAGACTCCTTTGAGTCTGGATGAATTGTAATAGTCAAGTCACAACTAGTCAAATTTAACCATGACGAATATCTACGATAGCACAGTCAAGTTGAATGAGCATATGAATATGTCTTCAAATATTAATATTTTCAAGACTAATCCCCTGTACATCAATAACAAGATATATAGTACAACAGATGCTGTGTCTACAGTAACTACATAAAGGAGAAGATAGCAGTCAAAGAATAAAGATTACTTAACTAGACTAGAAGTTCTAAGTGAGGATCTCAAGTCCTATAATCAGTATTCGGATTCAAATCTACTTAGTGAAAATGAAAACTAAACCCCAACAATTAATTCAAATAATGATTAAGACAACTAGCAAGTCTTAACAAAAGAAGATGAGCAATTACATGAATACCTAGCCAGATAAGAAAAAGAATATGATTTAACCATGAAGAATCTTGACAAAAAGTTTGATAGTCAGGATCAATTCAATACCAGCTTAAACTTAAACAAAGAAACTTCAAATAAATTTGAAACTTACCGAGATCAGTCTTGTGGTACCTAGAATATCAGCTATAACAGGAAAATGACAAACCACTCGGCAATGCTATAATGAGCATGTAAAATTAATATTGAAGTTGGTATAGATTAAATTAATTGTGTTGAAGTAGATTAAATAACATTAATCATCAATCGAATGCTTTGTAGCTTTCTAATTATTGATTTCATCACTTCTTTTTGTAATTTTTCTCGAACAAGGCTTGTCTTGCATTCTGAGAAACCAACATTCTTTGATCTTCTGTTTGAGCCTTATGTTCTAAGAAATCGTTTAGTGACTTCTCTAATAGATTCCTCTCGATCTTTTGTATACTAATTTTAGCACCTTTCTTTGCGTATTCTTTTTAAATAAGCCTCTATAGTCTTTTGAATTAAACTCTTCTGTAGTATCTGCCTTTACTTGTAGTGATGTGAGAGAGTTTTCTAACTTCCTCAAAGTTAGCGTTGCTTTGATAAAGATTCTTTCTAAATACATGAGCAATGTATGGAGAAGCATTTCCTTTTAAGAGATCCTTGTAAAATTCCTCTAGAGGTCTTTCTTCAAGTGTAATTCTTATTGAGCTTTTAGGAAGATGAATCATTCCCATTTTTCCTCTGCCTCTGATATCAAGCTTTTTCATGCCTAGGGCTTTCCCTACGATACATTCTTTCACGTACAATCTCTCCTCAGCTAATCCCTTTTTAAGTGCATTAGCTCTAGCCGCTTCAAGAACTGACAAAACTATTTAAGCTCCTTTTTTATTAGAAAATTAGACAATAGTCTTTGCATCTAATAAACTTTGCTTTCTGACAGACTTAGCACAAGCATTCAATTTTAAAGAGCTATATCTAAGCCCCCATTTACTAGCATCTTAAGTGCGTCCTATCTTCTTTACAATAGTAGATGGGAAGAAACATTAAGGAGCTGGTGTCTTTGGAAGCGCTTGTTCAAGTAAAGCTAGATCATCGGTAACTGTATTCTTAACAATTTTAATTTGTGGCTTTTATTACTGCACCTCAAGAGTTGAAAATTGCCTCATCATCATTTGGTTTTGCAGCATCATTGGAGTACTAGAAAATGCGTTCAGACTTAATTTGGGTAGATAAAGGTGCTAAAAATTTTGCGAAACTGTGTTTTGAGTCATCAAATTTCTTTGTGATAGTAACTAAGTGAATTTGAAAGACTGAGAAGGTCTCTTAAGGAGTGTAAGACTCTTGCTTATTATCATTTTTAATATTTATATAATTCTTTACTAATACTTGATTGAATAATTATTATCGGAGGGGTTTTGGGGTTTTGGGG